GGCACACGGCTGGTCCTATGGGAAGTGTTTGGAGTGCGGGCAGTGAGGGAGATGGGCCCACTGGGGGAACACTGGGGCACAGCAAGGACAGTTGATCCGCCCCCCCAATCAGCATAGGACCACTCAGTGAAGACTGGTCAGGAATTCAGAACTGCAAGGGGTCCAGTTTGCTGAAAGACTCAGGCCCAGACCAGAGTTTCCACATAACCCAGGTGTACCAGATCTCACGAGAGCCAGAAGTACCTATAAAGTCAACCATTAAAACCTGAGCGGCACAAAAAGCCTTTCCCGGGGAATCAGCAGCAAAGCATCAATTTAGCTCAACCACAGAGCTCAAGTGCTGGTCCTCACAGGAAGTTCCCCCAATTTAGAAGAAAGCAAAGGACAACAAATTAGTTCCAGTGTGGAGTTTAAGTGGTGGGAACAGCAAATAACCCAACACAAACTGAGAGAAAAACAAAAATACCCACAACTAGAGACAAAGTTTGATATTAACTAGTAAAGGTCTCACACCACCAAAGAACACTTAACACCAAGAAGAACCAGAAGTCCCCTGGGCTAACAAGCCAGAGAGAGGGGAGGGCTGGGGGCCTCAGCATGCCACAACTAGAGACAAAGTTTGATATTAACTAGTAAAGGTCTCACACCACCAAAGAACACTTATAACACCAAGAAGAACCAGAAGTCCCCTGGGCTAACAAGCCAGAGAGAGGGGAGGACTGGGGGCCTCAGCATGCCCCCCCCACACCTGCAACCAGATTCAAGGGTGAGGGTCTCGGGGCTTGGCCACACCCCCAACATGTGCAAGCAGTCCAGCGAGGACCACCAAACCACCATAGGAAGTGCCCTGGGCTCTCCCGAGCAGGGGTGGTGGGAGGCTGAGGGCGTCAGCCACATCCCATCAACACTCGCAACCAGCCCAGCAAAGACTACCAAGCTGCCACAAGAAGTGTGCTGGGCTCCCAAGCTGGGGTCGTGGGGAGCTAGGGCTTTAGCCACACCCTCCTGACATCTGCACCCAACCCAGCAATGACCAAGCCACCACTGGAAGCCCCCTGGTCTCCCCTGTGGGAATGAGGGGGGAGCCATAGGCCTCAACCCCGCCCCTCTTCCCTCCTCCTTCCATCCTATTCCCTTCCTGTTCTCTCTCCCTCTCCCTCCCAACTGCTTCACAACACCACCATAGAATGAAAAAAATAATAATAATAAATTAAAAAGTAATAATAAAATAAAAATAAAATGGGATGATAATCATTAGCACAAAGAAGTGTTATAAGGATTAAATAATGTTCAGAAAGTGCTGAGCACAGTGTCTGGTCATAGTAAATGCTGTATAAGATCAGTTACAACATTGTCACCATTATCCACTTCACTATTACAATTATTATCAGCATCACCATGCTTCTGCCCTATTCTTTGCCCATTCTCATGATCAACCACCAATAGCTTTAGACTCACATCATTTCCCCCACTGGCAAGTGACCGCAGCAGTCGGGTCAAGTACTGAAATACATTCAGCTGGATGGCTGTGCCACCTATCTTCCGGACCACACTGCTAGTCTCTTCTGGGTTCAAGGTGTGACGGAGGAGAGCCCAAGCCAAAAGCACTGGGGCATGATGCAGAATGTCCCCAAAGGTCAACATTAAATGGTCCATATCCTAAGGAGAGAAGAAACATATCTATGTCTCCAAACAGAAAGGGTCAAGTCCCTCAATGGGATTCTTCATTATGTTAAATAAACCTTTCATTGATCCATCATTGCCTTGGTCTTCCATTCTGATATTTTACTCTTCTCAAACCCCCAGCCACCTCACTAATAAACCCCTCAATTACCCTTCCCTTTATCCACAAATTTTTTCTGATTTTAAATATTCTTCACTTAAGATTATAAAATACATGTTCAAGTGGAGATTCTTTAGAAATTTTACTCTGATCCTTCTTGAACTTTCTATGATCTCTCCTTATTTGCTACCTTTCTAACCACCCCATCTCAATGCTCTTCCCTTTCTCCCTTCTTTCACAGGCCTCATAAATGTAGACAATCCCCAAGGTTTCGATCTTGGATCTCTTTTGTCCTTGTACCATCTCTATGAGTGATGACTCTACTCACTCTCAAAGATCCAATTATCACCTCTGTACAGATAACTGACAAATCTGAGAATCTTCCAGGTCCAGTTAACTTTTTAACAATGTAGAACCTCAAATTCCATAACACTAAAAATTTTATGCACCAGTACAGTTAAGTGGTTAAAAATACACTACTAACTATAAACCATCTGAAAAACAGAAAAGAGGCTATTCCAAGTTTACCTGACAAATAAGACCATCCTGGGCAAATTGGTGCAGTTCTCTCCTGTCATCCAAAGCACACTTATGCAAGGACTCTATATCCATGCCTTCCACCAGGATAAGGGCACTGAAGTAGCTGTAAAGAAAAATAGTACCAAAGTCTCACATATGCTGCTCTGAACTTCACTAGAGACTAAGGTGAAATGTAAGACACTTCAATCATAGTCATTTGTGGTTTGTGCCTACCATACCGGGCAGCACAGATCTAGCACTAAAGGTTTCTATAGCCACCTATAGTTTACCCAGGTAAACTATCTCATTTCTCAAGTGTGTATCTTTGATCACAGAGGGAAAAGGCCCCAAAATGGCCGTAAACAGAGAAAAATAAGAAATCCAGTCCATAGACAGTGACCTCAAAGAGGCAGGGAACACACATGCCTTGTTTATCACTGTCTTCTAAGCATTTGTATAGTGCCTGGCCTGCAATAGTTGCTCAAAAGATTTTAGCTGAACAAATGGATGACTCTGGTAGGTGAAGACAGTAAGTAAAAGAAGAAAATACAGGGGCCAGCCTGTGGCTCACTTGGGAGAGTGTGGTGCTGATAACACCAAGGCCATGGGTTCGGATCCCTATATAGAGATGGCCAGTTTGCTCACTTGGGAGAGCATGGTGCTGACCACACCAAGTCAAGGGAAGATCCCCTTACCGGTCATCTTTAAAAAAAAAAAAGTCTCTCTCTCAATCCATCTCTACTCCCTGTATGAAATGGAACATGGCAGTACACTCATCTTTTTCACCATCCATTAAATGAAAAATATACCTACCCCCTTACCTATCTAAGGAAACACTATAGTATCAATGCTCTGTACATTGTGCAAATTCTATGACCTTTAATTCATTCAGACTTACCCAATCCGATCTACGAAAGGATCCATGGTCTCATCTACCAGGTGTCTATTGGTCTGCCTACTACCAAATCCTTGCTCTTTAAACATCTTGGTTAATACCAGTAGGTCACTAGGTGCCATCTCAAAGTATGCATAATAAAGGAAAATAATTTCTAGCAGCATGGACTGTTCCCGAAGGCACTGAACAAACCAGCGAGACACCTGGCGCTCAGTCTGCACAACCGATGAAGAAAAAGTGGGAGAGAAATAAAGAGAGATTAAAAACCACACTTAAAATTTTTAGTTATTTTTACTAGATAATAAACACATGACACAAAATTCAAGAAGTGTAAGAATAGGGTGAAAAAAAGGTTTCCATCCCTACAATTCCTTTTGCCCAATCATCCAAACCTCTCCCGAGAAGCAATCACTGTTAAGCAATTCTTGTTCCTGCTTTCAGTAACATTCCACACATATTCACTCATTCACTCTATATTCTATCTCTAAACCAAATAACAGTGATAAAAGAAGAAAAAAAATAACATAAACCAAATAACATTACACAAACTGTTTAGCACCTTGCTTTTTTCACTTAACCATGTAATTTAAAGATTCTTTTAACAGTATACTAAAAAATTCCTATTTTTCATTCCTTTTATAGCTGCATAGCAATACATTATATGGATATGCCATAGATTATTCAACCAGTCTCCTCCTTATTTTTAATGCTGCATGATAATATTCTACTGCATGTAAATGCCATAGTTTATTTTACCCAACCCATTTGGATGGGCATTTAAGTTATTACCAATCTTTTGCTAATAAATCATGCTATACAACTGATAGAAAAACTAAACAAAAAAACCAGCAAAAACACAGAAGATCTGAACAACCTTGACGTGTTATTTGTAGACCACAAAGAACTACTGCCAAATACACATTCTTTTCAAGTGTACATGGTACATTCACCAAGAAAGATCATATGGTGATCCATAAACCATGGGACAGTAAATTTTTAAAAGACTAAAAATGACATAGAATGTGTTCTCTGATCATAATACAATCAAATTAAGAGTCGATAACAATAAGATATCAAAAAAAATACAATATTTGGAAATTATACAACACACTTTTTTCTTTTAATCCTACAGCACCCAGTATTCCCAAGTGATCTCTCATCCAAGTACTAACCAGGCCTGACCCTGCTTAGCTTGAGGTCAGATGAAAATAATACACTTTTAAATAATACATGAGCCAAAGAAAATCACTAGGAAAATTAGAAGCTACTTTGAACTGATAATGAAAATACAATATATCAAAATTTATAGGATGCAGCTAAAAGCAATGCTTAAAGCAACATTTATAGTTGTTTATTAGAAAAGATCTAAAATCAACTACCTTAAGAAATTAGAAGGACTGGCTGGTTAGCTCAGTTGGCTAGAGCTCAGCCTTGTAACATCAAGATCACAAGTCTGGATCCCTGTACCAGCCAGCCATCAAGAAAAAAAATTAGGAAAAGTGCAAATTAAATCAAAAGTAAATAAACAGAAAGAAATACTAAAAGCCAGAAATGAATGAAATATAAAATGGATATACAATAGAGAAAATTTAAGACAAAAACTAACATCAGAAATGAGTGAGGGTATAACACTAGAGATCCTACATCTATACAGTAATAAATAAGAAAATTATCTGAACAGCTTTAATGAATCTAATGAATTTGATTACTGAGATGAAATGGACAAACTCCTTGAAAAACACAAATTATCAAAGCTGATTCAATAATATATAGGAAACCTACATAGCTCTATCTCAAAAAAAAAAAAAACTGAATTCAGAATAAAAAACCTTCCCACAAAGAAAACCCAGGTCCAGATGGCTTCACTGGTAAGTTCATTTTTTCTTTTCTTTTCTTTTCTTTTTTTTTTTTTTTGGCGGCTGGCCAGTACAGGGATTCAAACCACTGTTATTCTATCAAACATTTAAGGACAAGATCTGAAAGGCAAGGAACATAATTTTAAAAACTAAAAAAACAGTTTAATAAAACTTAAAATTTTTGCTCCTAGACACAAAGTTAAGGTGAGAAAAGACAAGCCATGAAATGAGAGAAAATATTTGCCAATGACCACCTGGCAAATGACTTGTATCTATAATATATAAAAAAAACCTCTCTGGGCTGGCCCAGTGGCGCACTCGGTAGAGTGCGGCGCTTGGGAGTGTGGCGG